ATTGTTCCCATATTCAGCCTTCCTTGAAGGTGATGTGGCGTGCAAAGAACATCTGTCTAAATTTACCCGGGAACTTTATCTGAGGTGATAGAAATCAATTACAGGTCTGACTGCAATCACATGAAGGGATCACAGAGAAGTACCACTCTCAGGCACTTGGTGGGACTGCTAGGTCATCCTGTGCAAGGCCAAGAGTTGGATTTGGTGATCCTTGGCCAGTTGAACTTGGTTATCTCCGTGATTTTGGTTATTAAGTGACTGTTTTGTGTCTAAACTTGAGGGCAGTTTTATGGAGTTGACATCCCACGTTTGAGTTTTGTTTTCATACAAAGTGATATTTACATGCTGACCTTTGAAAACCCCGTGAATTTTAATTGTTTTAATTTAATATTGAAATTCCAACAACCCTTAAGCTGGTCCCTCTAATCCACGATAGCTCTAACTTTTTCACCATTTTCTATAAAACTGCAAATACTCTTGGAGAGGCATAAGAGATGGGTGTCATGTTTTCCTGTGAAAAGTCTACCCATAGGTAAAATGCTACATGCATTTCACTGAAGAAGATGGTTTGGGTTTAGTACCTATTTCAGAAACTCTTTCTAATAAACACTCACTGTCTTCTAATGTAAAATAGGGACATGCAGCTATTTCAGGCCCTAATGTGTCTTAGACTTAGTCCTGCATGTTGTCTGACACAATTTCAGTGGGCCTGGCCTCAGTATCTGTGCTTTGGACCTGTTCCTACTCTGTTAATTAGGGTAAATATTTTACCTGTCATCTTTTTTTAATGTAGCAGTTTGAACGAGCATTTCTGCAAGCAGTGAAAGTCTTGGGAATAGACTCGATGGCAGAGCAAAGCATTTTGTGTTTGTGCTCAGTGTGGGACTTTGAAGGCTCTGTGTGTTCAGGGAAGGTGAGATTGTCAGATTTGAACATCAGAAAACACTGCAGTTTCTGGCTCGTTAAAAATATGCATTTAACTGTGACCAGTGTTACACAGAACTGTGAAAATTGGGCATCTTGATAAAGAAGGGGCTTTTGCCTGATAATTCCCAGTTGATCCTTAAAACGCAGTGAAGTGCTGGCTTCCTACTGGGCAGGGTGTATGTGCTGAAGGTGCACAGTCCGTGACGCGCATGCGTGTGAGAGCTGTTGTGCGGGTGTGGGAGCTGCTTGCAGTGGGCTTAGATTGCAAACCTTGGCTCAGCTCAGTTAAACATCAACAAGCCTTTGGTACCAGGGTGACACTGGAAGGAAGAGGATGAAAAAGCCTTGGGTTGAAGTGGGTTGAGTCAGCAGTGCCCTGGCAGCTCTGGGGGCATCAGGGAGGGGATTGTCCTGCTCTGCTCTGCCCTGGGGCGGCCTCACCTCAAATCCTGGGGACAGTTTTGGGTGTCACAATGTAAGAAGGGTCTAAAGCTGTTGAAGAGTGTCCAAAGGAGGGACATAAGGATGGGGAAGGGCCTGGAGGGGCCACATGAGGAGCAGCTGAGGGCCCTTGGTGTGTTCATCTGGAGAGGAGGAGACTGAGGGGAGACCTCACCGGGGTCTGCAGCTCCATCTCTGCTCTGGGTGAGCAGGGACAGCCCCCAGGGAATGGCTGGAGCTGTGTCAGGGCAGGCTCAGGGTGGATCTCAGCAAAAGGTTCTTCCCCCAGAGGGTGGTTGGCACTGAACAGGCTCCCCAGGGCAGTGGGCACAGCCCCAAGGCTGCCAGAGCTCCAGGAGGCTTTGGACAACACTCTGATGCTGATATGAAACTTCTGAAGTGTTTGTGCTCGATTTAAAGCCCCTTGCCTGCTCTGGAAACACCAATGATGCAGCAGTGCTGACTCTGAAAGGCATCTCAGGTGACATTCTCAAACTGAACTGGTTGGTGCCTTCTGAAAGATAATCAAGTACGTGAGAGAAGGGGGAAAACCCCAGACCCAACAGCAACAAAACACCACTGAACCAGGCACGTGTTTGGTTGAAAGGATGCTCTGCAGTGTGGCCTTAGGTTGGTTGTGGGTAACTTTACAGCTCCTTGGAGTTCTCATCCACCTCTCCTTCAGGGCAGGAGGGTTATTTAGTTTGTTGCCAGGAGATGGCAGTAACAGATAAACTCTTAGAGTATTTTTTTATCCATGAATGTCATGGAATCACAGACTGGTTTGGGTTGGAAGGGACCTTAAAACCCATCCAGTCCCACCCCCTGCCATGGGCAGGGACACCTTCCACTATCCCACGTTTGTCCAAGCTCTGTCCAACCTGGCCTTGGACACTTCCAGGGATCCAGGGGCAGCCACAGTTTCTCTGGGCAACCTGTGCCAGGGCCTGCCCACCCTCACAGGGGAGAATTCCTTCCCAATATCCCATCTAGCCCTGCCCTCTGGCAGTTTGAAGCCATTCCCCCTTGTCCTGTCCCTCCAGGCCCTTGTCAGTAGTCTCTCTCCATCTTTCCTGTTGGCTCCTTTGGGTGCTGGAAGGTCACAATCAGCTCACCCTGAAGCTGCCTCCA